ACTACTAGCTTCTTGTTACTACTAGTAAGGCACCTGTTACTAGTAGCGATGCACTTGTTCCTAGTAGCTTTCGCCCTAAGCGTCCCCACTTCCAGATCCAAGAGATCGCCTCTGGGTTCTGTGCGGCGGTTTCCACCCATTCTCTGTGGACGCTCCTGGGTGGTGGCCATGGCGAGGGTGAGGGCAGAGTGGAGATGGCATCGAGTCGTCAATTCCACTTGTAGGACATATTGAAAGGACCTTGTAGAATGAGTGAGGAAAGACATGCCTATGCCGCTATGCCAGGCTGCTGGCTGGTCTCAGTCTCAGTCGAAAGCCTCTTCCCTTCCGCGGGTCCACAATCCGAGGGTCTGTACTGACGCTGCTGGTCTGCGCGGGCTATTCGCCATGCGCAACACGGCCACAAAGAGCTGCGAGATGCAAATGAAACGTGGTTTTGCCAGAGCATTATATAAGGAACCTCGCTCAAGGAACAACCGCTGCTCGAACACAACCGTCAAATTGACCCATGAAGGTGCTTTTGGTCTACATGTCCAACGAACACATTTTGGTGTGAGGAAGCATTGGACGTGAAACAAGTCTGAGAAATCAGGGGTGGAAATCTCCCAAGATCGTGCAAGCTTGCTCTTTGCCCTAGGACGCTTCTAGGAGCAAAGGGCATCGCTACTTAGGAGCAAGGACGCTACTAGGGGGGTCCTGGCCTTACTACTAGTAACAACGTTCGCTATTAGAAACAAGAAATAGTTAGAATTAAAAAGAAATTAGAGAAGACATACAGCCTAAGCCCCACCGAGCAACAAAAGAGCAACTCCCACCTGTGCAGCACCAGTGGGTGTCAGCGTGGAGGGCATCGCAGGGCCTTGTCGCAAGGGTCAACTTTCACGGGTTCTTCGTTCTATTCTTCGAACTCCATAGTAATGTGAAATGGTCCGTCTTTGTATATCAAAGAAATGTACACAAATGCCGCCGGTAGATGCCGCAGTATCTCATGCTGCAACCACCAGCCAACCAGCCAACCAGCCAACCAACTTCACCCTTTGACCAATGACCACCTCTTTGCTTCGTCCTAATATCCTCGCCACCACTGGGCACCGTGCCAATACTGGGCTGCACCAGAGGTGCAGTGCCCATGCCTGGAATCATGGCTGCCTTGGCGTCCGGGGTTTCAGCCATCTTTGGCTCCAAGTTCACCAATTGCGATTCCATCCTTCACACCCACAGAACCACATGATTAACCGATTCAGGCTTCATGGGATGCTCTATATCAAGATGGGGGGGCCAACAAAGGTCAAATGCATCGACTCGGACATCTGACAGTCTCGTGCAAACAAAGTAGAAATGCTCGACGACCAAATGAATTCGATCTCTGGACGACAAATGCCCTCCTCTTCAGTCAGTGAAGCTAAGTCACTGCTTTTCAGGTGCAGTCGACCCAAAATGGGTCGACGCTCTTCTCCACGCACGCTGTCTCTTCACCTAGGTTAACGGGGTAGGGCGACCTTGTGCTCGGGGTACCCACAACTTCGCTAACATGTCCGTTAGCAAATGATGTAGACATCTGCAAGCCTTGGCAAGCCTTTTCATCGAACAAAGCTGGTGGACATGGTGGAACAAGGGCATTGCTACTAGTAGCTAGAAGGCTAGAAGCTACTAGTAACAAGGGCATCGCTACTAAGAGAAAGGCCGCTATTAGGGGCTCCTGGCCTTACTAGGAACAAAGGGCATCGCTACTAGTAACAAGAAGCTACTAGAAACAAGTGCATCGCTACTAAGAGAAAGGCCGCTATTAGGGGCTCCTGGCCTTACTAGGAACAAAGGGCATCGCTACTAGTAACAAGAAGCTACTAGAAACAAGTGCATCGCTTCTAGTAACAAGTGCCTTACTAGTAGTAACAATAAGCTATTAGGAACAAAGTGCATCGCTACTAGAGACACCTTCCTGAGAGTCCCACCTCCCGCGCCGGCCGATCGGCGCGTCCCTCGGGCCCGGCCGTCCAGAGCCACCAGTGGCTGACAACGGCACTGTCAGTGCGCGACGGCAGACCGAAAAGCCATGTGTGATGCAACTGATGCAACTCATGCATTTGATTTTCTTCTTTTCTCTGCTTCAAGGCATTGAGGCCGTTCTCCCAAGCCAGTTGTGAGCATTCTATTCTGTCCCACCAGTATTCATTCAGCGCACCTTGACAGGTTTGATCCTTTTCAGGTCTTATGGTTCTGTGATTCCAAGGGCATTGATTGGTTAGCACGTGTGAAGCCAGTTCTTATCCCTATCCTTTTCAAGGCTGCAAGGCAAAAGCGTCGAAGCTACTAGCAGCTCCTGGCATCACTACTAGGAACAAGAAGCTACTAGTAACAAAGTGCATCGCTACTAGTAGCAAGGATGCTACTAGGTGGAAGGCCATCGCTAGTAGGTTGGAGGCCATCGCTAGTAGGTTGGAGGCCATCGCTATTAGGTTGGAGGCCATGATCAGTTGGACGCTACTAGGACATTCAAACCAGGTGGTCAGCTGTTTTCTCCTTTCCTGCAGCTTTTCTTCAGCTCTCAAGAGCCATTCGGTCTCTAGGTCAAAAGGGGTGCGTCTCCCTGGGGTTTCACCCCGGTCCAGACCGGTCATGAGAAAGATGCGGATCCAACAATGGGCCAACAAACATATGTTGGATGAACACGCTTCTCCCAATCACCAGCCACCCCATGGGTGGTGGTCAAAAGCACGAAAGGTGAGTGTATAAGTACGCGATGCTGCATTTGGGCCCCACGACCTGCTCACAATTGGAACCATGTGAAACTGCCCTGGCGCCCTGGCACGATCTCACGGCCTGCATCGTGTTGGCCAGAAGCACAGAGAAAGAGAGAGAGAGAGAGAGGCAGAGGCAGAGGCAGTGGCAGGACATCGAGGTGGAGAACATCTTAAGGCCGGAAGTAACGTAACACTCGAACACTCTTATAATTAGTGGATTTGAGGTTCACATATGGACCCCATCTAAAATGTGCCATCTATTCTGAACCACTGTAATGCTAAATTCACAAATGTTCAAAGGTCATCAGAATTGGGACAGCGCACATGGTCAAACATCCTTGAATAATGGCAGATGCTCATCCTACCAGTAGGTGTTTTTCTGTCCTTTTACATGGGATCTTCAACCCAGCCATTGCAAGTGTGAAGCTGCGGTGGCGAGGATCGGCGGTGTCGACACCGGCCGACTTCGGAGACGGCCGAGCTCCTGGTTGGTCCCTCATGGAGCTCCACGAACTTCACCCAACTCTGCTTCGAGCTCCTTCCCGCGGAGTGGAGTTGCAGGTGCTTGTGTTGGTGGCGTTGCTTTTGTATTGAGAGATACGAAAGGAACATGAAGTCATCTTGGGAAGTCAGGGATTGGAAGGTTGCTTGGTGGAACTGGCCGTGGATCTCCTCAAGGACCTTCATAGTCTCTCCTCTCCTAAGCCAACGAAAGGAAGGGAGGCAAAGGGGGACGGCAAAGCGGCTGACTTACGGATGCAATGAGCCATTCTGGTTGCAAGTCCCTGGCATGGGAATCGTGATTTGGGACTTGCTTGTTCCACCAAAATAACCGCGATTTCAGCTCGCCATCACTCGAAACCCGCAGTGTTTCATTCGATTTGGTTTGGGGAGAGAAGCTGAATACGGCGGGGTCGAGGCCAGAAGCTGAATACGTTGGAGGCCGTCTCTTTGAGGGGATCCATGAACCCCGGCTGGTTGCAGCCAGGTTGCGAAGGGCTGGTCGATCCTGGCTGTTTCAGCGTGACCGCTTGCCACGGCTGGTGAAGACATAAAGCTCTTGGATTACAGCCTGCTTCTGGAGGTCATGGATTATATATCTCGAATTATTTGGGTGGATTTATGTAGGAAACTTTGTCCCGATTTTTGATGAGTCAGTCGCGCATTGGAGGTGTGTCTCCAATGGTGTTGGACCGACAAACATGGACGATTTACACGCTGAATATTGCTGAATGACACAATCTGGTCGTGGTCATAACATTAAAATAGCTACGAGTAGAAAATCAATGTTCGTTCAGCCAAGCCATCCTGAAATGGGTTCCAATCCTGACACTGAACATCTGCATCTGACAGTCTCAAGACGAGCTACCGTTGGAAAATGATCAGGCGCAAAAAGCCACTTCTCAAGAGCCCTCAGAGCCTCACAGCCTGAGCCGGACTAAAACCTAACGTGACTGACTCCTCAGTGACTCAGCGCCTCCGATTTGATGGGTCGCTCGAGATGCTTCGGCGTTGTTTCCTGCTTCTTCAGCGCCAAAAAACTTCCAACACGGCCGGAGACCTCCCGATCCACTCTGCCCGGACTCCGGGCCTTTGGTGGAGTGTAACAGCTCGGCCAAGGGCATCGCCTTCGCCTCCGATCGAGGACGCGGGCTGGCGGACGCTGTCTATATGGAAATCTGACGCTGCGCAAGCAGGCAGTCATGACATCTTCCGATGTCACCCACTGTTTCAAATCTTTTTCAAGGGGGAGGGTATACACTTCAGGAGGAAAACAGTTTGGTAACAACTTCACTCGAGAATGTCATTGACATCACTTCTCTTTCCCAATGGAATTCCGGCGGTTTAGTTTCCACCCCGAACTAAATTGCAATGCTATACATTTACTTCGGAGTGGAAACTAATCCGCCGGCATTCCACTGTGATCCTCTGTAGGAGTCCAAGGGGAAAGGGTTGTGGGTTATGTACTCACAAGCTTGTTACCAACTTTTGTCCTGGCTGTGTATGTTCAAAGAAAAAGGAACTGTTGGGGACTGGTGCAAAGTATTCATCACATGACTGAAATGATCTGAAATGTGTGAAACGCTAGCTTGGAGGCCATTACTAGTAGCAAGAAGCTACGTTCGTAGCTCCTGGCATTACTAGTAGGAAGCTACTAGGAACAAGTGCCACGCTAGTAGTAACAGGTGCCTTACTAGTAGTAACAAGAAGCTACTAGTAACAAGACTCGGGACGTCTTTGACGAAACGGCGGCGGTGGCCGGTATTCATCCGATCGCCCAAACTCTTGTGGCCCGAAGCTGCTGGCGTCGAAAAGGCCGTGGCTCCAGTGCGTGGGTTCACAGCGACCAGCTACAATCACATGCCCTTTGCACGCGTGGATGGGGCAGACAACACCCACGCGGGTACAACTCGCGGGTACGACCTGTGTCATTGTCAAAGTACGGCAAGACAGCGAGTACAGCCATACAGGTAACTGGAAATGGAAACATGACAAAGTACCTTGAACAAGTACCCATCGAACCCATTCGAGACCGGCATCGACTCGGCGTCCCACCTCTTCGGTGAGAGGAGCTTTCGCTCGACCTGGCCGGTGGGTGTTCACACCCCTTTCGATCCGTTCGCCGAACACAGGATCACAGTCATTTCGTGTTTCGGGAGTCGTTCGCC